CCCCCCCCCCCCCCCCCAGATATGCCTTGAAAATCCTTTACGAAAACCATGAAATTCCAGAAACGCCTATAATCGATTTGGTACCTGAACAACTCTTACGGCAAATAGGATGTAGATTACGACTAAAAACAAAAAAGTGAAAAAAGTGAAAAACTCGTGAAGTTACGGCCGGTCAACCAAAATCGGCCTGACGAACGCCGGCACTGTAGAGGCATACTAGACCCGGAACGAGCCGTGCCACTCGCGTATACAACGACATCTTTAGACACAAAAGGCATTTCCGGGGCGTGTTACGTGGGGCGGCAAAAGGTTTTCCTGCCATACTGGTGCCTCCCACATGAATCTGCTGCAAATTGGGGGAGGCGCGAGGGACCCAGGCGGTGACACACCATTTTTGGCCGCATCGAAATGTCAGGGTCGCATGACTCTGGGATGAATACACCGTCAGGAGGGGGAAGTCACACGCCTGAAAAGAGTAAACACTCGCTCACATGACGCGCGTAAGACAAACAAGATCGTACACACAACTCCGTGTTGCTCTTCTACAACAATAACCCTGCGCGCAGGCTTGCAGGCCTTGTACCTTCTTTTCGCTAGACTCGAAATCGTTCTACTAGTCGACGTAGGGCTGACTGGAGATAGAAACATGATGACATCACACTCAAAACTGCACAGAAATAGCGCCCACCGTTTTTGGTTGGTTTGACTTAACACACGCACAAGCAAACGACGGGAAAATCGATACATGTAGCCGAGGTGGCCATAATCTGAAATGCGCGGCAGAACGAGCTCAAGCTAAAAAACGCACAAATTAAACTTGAACAGAGTTCTGTGTGCGACAAAAAAAAGTGCTCTGCACGCGTCCGTCTCGGACCTGATTCCCCCCCCCCCCCCACCCCCCTAGCGTCTAACATCAATACGTCCCTTTCCTCCCAACCACCACGCCGCGCAGCCACCCGCCAAGCTCTATCTTGCGTCCTCGACGACGTTTACCCCGGCGATCAAGTAAACCGGGACCGTGAGCACCAGCGACGCTCCCAGGAACCAGGTGAAGTACTTGAGCCCAAACCTGCCGAACCTGCCCTTCACCTGGCTTCCCGTCCACGTGAGCACCTCCTTGACACGAGTGTACCGCAGCCAGCCGGTCATGTACGTGAAGAGCGTGCACGCGACGAAGGCGACGCCGAGGGCCATGGCCGTCGAGTCCATCGTCGCCGACCCCATGTCCTCGGTCAGGCTGATGAGGGACAGCGCCACCCCGAGCACGGACAGCGCCGTGCGCACCCACGCCAGCCACGTCCGTTCGTTCGCCAGGTGCGCGTTCACTCTTTCGAACTTGAGGAGCTCCCCCCGGAACTCGTGCGCCGCACCTCCCCCCCCGTCGCTGCTGCCGCCGATGCCCCCGGCCGCGTCGTGCGCGGGCTTCGCATCGCTGTTGTTGTTGTTGCCGCTCTCACCGCGACCGTAAAACCCGTTCCCGCACGACTCCGCGCGTCTCCGATCGCCGTTGCCGCCGCTGCCTGCCGGCACGGCGGTCGCATCCACCGTTAGGCCGTCCGGCAGGGAGTCGCTGACGGCGAGGGCGCTTCCATCCTCGGGGTATCTCACAACGGCAGGGGTGCCCCGCGGAAGCCCGAGCGCGATCTCGATCGTTCGCGTTATGGCCTCGTCGCTCGCCCCAGCAAACCTGCGTGGGTTTGTTGGGGATGCATCGGGAGCGTGGGGTGGGGTACTCATGTTTTGCTGCCCTACCTGATAGCACACATTGACCACGCATCCCTACAGTACCGGGACGTAGGGATATGCAGTTTTGTCGCCTGCCCAGGCTACGTGCAACAAGGGTGAACCAGAAGCTGTTCATCATCCNGGGGGGGGGGGGGGGGGGGGGGGGGGGGGGGGGGGGGGGGGGGGGGGGGTGCTCATGTTTTACATGCCGTAGCTTTTTGACCATTCGACAAGAAGGGAAAATCGCAACTGGGTTTGATCTAGGGACACTGAACGTAGACAGCGTTCAAACGGGCAACACGTCCGCCTTGTTTGCAGCGAGCGAGTGGCCTACAGCACCGGCTAGCTACATGGAGCGTGAGAAGCAGGGCGTGGTGACTTCATTACCACGACGCCCTCCGCGTGTAGCACAAACTTTGAACCATGCGGGGTTAAGGCATTGGTCTGTTTTGTACTTGCACACGCCATTCTGCCTAGAGAGAAGCGGGTGGGGGAGAGGGATCCACCCCGCGTGGGTGGTTAGTAAGCCTAAAACATTGTACACACCCCAAGGCCGCAAAGCCGACCAGGCCACGGGTGTGATGTGTAAGGGTAGAGCTCGCTAAGACAGACAGAAAGCGGTTTTATCGCGGCTGCTAAGCACGTACTTCTTCATTAAATAGCAGATGTACCAAGCATCATTTGTCGTCTGTGCTCGACGTGAGAAAATCTCTTCGCAAGCTGCCCATAGAGGGGGGAGCTCTTAACCCTTAACGACTACTTCTACATCGTAGAAGCGAAAAGCCAAAAGTGAGAACACACCTCGCCGGGATTCGGTTTTCCCAACCTTTTTGTACAGTTTTCCCCATTGCTGATGTGCAACGCTGCAGTACATCATACAGCAAGAACGGGGAAAAACAAGGAACAAGCCGAGCCGTGCTGACAGTCTCGCAAAAAAGAAAGGCGGAGCCTGTGCGTCGAAGCAGCGTTTTAGCCAGGCAGTCACCCGGTTTTAGAGAGAAAGAGAAAGAGAGAGAGAGAGAGAGAGAGAGAGAGAGAGAGAGAGCCAAGGCCTCCAACGTTACAACTGCCCGAAGATCAACGTTTTCCACGTGCCTAGTACATTTGATGCACGCCGTCGAGAGTGTCTAACGTGTCTCGCATTTTCACCTCCATGAATGATGTTGGTGACGTCGTCTCTCCCTAGTCAAACCAAACGCTGCTCGCAGAACATTCCCTGTTGACATGAAACCAGCGTGGTTACCCCCGTGTGCAACGCGCTTACGGACGGACCGGTAACAACCCCTGTCAGGTGTGCGCAGGCACCCAAGCGGGAATCGCACTACTGGTGTACATGAGGCACTAAAAAGCAGTGCCATGGTCTTAGCTGTTTGCAGATCGAATGATCACGATCACACTCACCACGACACCGCGTGCTCTCGCCCCTCGTGCCGCACGGTGATCGTCTTTTTGCTGCCGACATCCAGCATCCCCCCCGTTCGATGGCGAAGCGACGACATCTGCCGCCCGCTTGGTGGGAACCAAAACCGTGCCTGCTGCTGTCCCTCTCGGGTTGATGTGGTTGACCCCGCCCGCCGCGACCCGTAGCTGCGGCGAGATTGCCAAACACGGTGGTCGCTTGGATCGTCCTATCTACACACCCCTGCTTGGGTCTGATTGACAGCGCTACAAGCTGGGAGAGATGGTCCGAGCAACAAGCCGCTAAAATGCTAGCGGTATCGACGTGCTGCCTCCGGTGGCCGCGGTGCAAACACGTGAGCACCGCCGGTCGACAACTGATGAGACAAAGCTAGTCGTTCGGCGGCTCCACGTTATGATTCCACGGACCCCCCCCCCCCCCCCCCCCCCCCCCCCCCCCCCCCCCCCCCCCCCCCCCCCCCCCCC